TGGGAGCGCGAGCCGGGCCCCGGTGCCGCGGGAGCGCCCCCCGTCACGGAGCGCCGGAGCGCGCATGCGCGCCCCGGACCTTCCAGCGCCGCCGCTCCCCCCGCCCCACCGCCTCCTCCCGCGCGCCCCCGCCCCGGGAGCGGCCGGGACGGGCGGGACGGACTCGGCGGCGTCCCCGCATCGCCGCGCGGGGCTGTCCCCGCCCGGCGGGGGCAGCGGGGCGGCGGCGAGAGCCCGCGGGAGGCGCGGGAGCGGCGGCGTTTACCCCGGCGATAGGCGTGAGCGCGGAGCGGCGGCGGTCCTGCCTCCCGCCCGGGAGCGCGGCGGAGACGGGCGCGGGGGCGGCGTGTAGGGCACCCGGAACCGGCGTTTGAGCGCTCCGGGAAGGCGTCGCTCCCCCGGGTGGCTTTGTCCCCGGCGGCGGTGCCGTGCCGCGGGCAGGGCCGCCCGCAGCCCCCGGCAGCGCGGCTGCCCGCAACAGGCTGGTCCCGCCCGCAGCGCCAGCGCATCCTGCCCGCCGACAGCAGAAGTGGTTTTAATGCAAAGATCCCTACAAAAGACAGAAATCTCACGAAATTTTCTGTTATGAGACAAAAAGGAGTGCTCTGTGTCTGCTGGGTGACAGCAGGACTGGGGAGAGGCCCGCTCTTGTCCAAGCACCCTTGACTGTTCCGCCTTTGTGGCTTAACAAAACCCTTCCCAAAAGCGCACGTAAACGGGTGAACTCGGATGGATGCGGAATTTCAAGGCGTTTAACGCTGTAGCTATAGTTTCCTGAACATTCCTGTGGGAAAGCTACATACATTTTAAAAGTTTGTAATGTGCACTGGTAATGTTTCAGTGTGCTTGGGAGACGAAATGGTAGAGATGGGAAGGTAGCATGTGAAGTAGAAATTGGAGTAGGAGTATGTTCGAGGATACTCTGATTTCGGCAAAAGCCAGGGCTGGTAAGGATGGATATTTTGTAACTATCACATCCTTCTGGCACCCCCTCCCAGACTCAGAACAGCTGTCCTGCATATTGGTGTTCCATCCTGTATTCCTTCACACTTGTCTTCTCTCGTTTATTTCACAAGTCCTCTTGTTGGTTTTTGGGTTGTTTTGTTTTCCCCAAAAGTAGTAAACATTCACAAATGTGCTTGTAAGTTGTGAGACATTATGCCAGATTCTGTTGGTTTTTCTGACTTCGTACATTCTGGATCAGCTACTAACATGAAGTTTGGGGCACAACCACCACAAGCATTGTCTGGGGGATGGAAAGAAGAGTTACAATATTCTGTGCCCATAGCAACCTTCCAGAGCAATCTGGAAATGCAGAAATAATATCTCTTTTTTTTTTTCCCCCCCTAAGGTTTTGATTCCTAACTGACAATAACAGAGATCAGTTGAGAAATTGAGATCATAAGCAGGTTGCTGATGGTTGTCAAGCGCTGAGTGCAGTTGCTAGCTCCTGTGACTGTGTCAGTTGTTATACCTACTAACAATTATATTGCCTACAAATTTAGTCAAGGATTTGTATTCCAAAACCCAGTTCCATAAATCAAAAACATTTTAAAAGTCTAGGTACATGCAAAAGGGCCAAAAGTGTGTGCAGTGCAGAAAAGGGAAGGAGGCCCCCATGCCTGGAAATATTCAACCTCAGGCTGAACAGGTCCTTGAGCAACCTGATCTGGTTGAAGATGTCCCTGCTTATTGCAGGGGGTTTGGATTTAGATGACCTTTAAAGGCCCCTTTCCAACACAAATCATTCTGTGACTCAAAGCTACATTAAGATGATCCAGAAATCAAGGCAAGGCTTTCCAAATTATACATTTAACTGTTTGTTGGCTTTGCCTGGAGGGTGTCACCTAAAAAAGGATTCTAAAAGACAGTAAAATTGTTCAGGAGACTTCTGAAAAGTGGAGATCTTCTGATGAGTCTTTCCTGTCTGGAAGGAAAATACTATTTTATAGACATAAATCTGATTACTAACCCACAAAATATTAGGGTACCTTCAATGCAAACAGTTCTTAGATACAATGTTTGTAAACTAAGCAAAAATCAAGCCAAAATAGATGGGCTTTTTCATTGATACACTCATGGTGATTTCCATTGTACTTTCTGTGGGTGAAATTAAATTCATTTCAAGTGATTGTTTAATGCAACGAGGAAACTACTGCTGGTTTACTTGCTTTCAGGCCCATGATATTCTGTGCTACAGGCATATGTTCTTAAAGAAAATGACACAAATTATACTATACCTACTATCCACTGGAGATACCAGTGGGTAAAATGTGATCAATCTGCACATAACTTGTACAGTTAGTTATTTTTATTTATCTTGTGGTTCTAACCATATTATAGCACCTACTGCTATGAGCCTTATTTTTATTTTGAGGAATCTGTGACCTGAGCTGTGCTAAGGCATGACATAATGGGAGAAAGAAAATTAAATTACTAGGGAGAGAGGTGAAAAGCTAGTGAGGGGAGTGCTGTTACAGCATTTTTACAAATGCTAAATGCAGCAGGTACATACAATTTGAAGTACATTTTCCAAATTATTCTGAAAGGCCAGCAGCTAATTTTATTTTCACCACAAAAAGCTCATTTTTAGATGTAGAATGCTTATTGTGACTCCAATGACTTCTTCATCCCAAGAGCAGAACTTTAGTTTGTTGGTGCTCTGAAACGCTTGAGAAGGGAAATTTACACTAGAATATGGCAAACTTTTTCACTATCACAGTTAGGAAATTAATTTTCTTAAACAATTTTAATGTGGAGGGTTCTAATTCTAATTGTGGAGTGTACAGTTTCTAGTGCTCAATCTCACAATCCAATGAATCACTTTTACCTGATACAGACCCAAAATCTGCTGGAGTCAGCTAATTCTTTTCACTTGGCAAGAAGGTGGTAGCACTTTTACATAGCAGGTGGAATCTCAGCAGGGCAGCTCTAGTTTCACTTTGATGAGACATTCTGCCACTTGTCTCAGAAGTTCCTCTGAGTAGCAACTTGAGTTAAAATGGAATATAAAGGTATTTTGGCTTTTTCCCCCAAATACATGAACACATACTGATGCCCACATTTAAACCTCCCTCAAAACAAAACTCTATTTTTGTGAATTTTTTCTTCTGCTGTGCAATGTTAACAAGTTGTCTCTTATTCTTCACTATCTCTGAACCCCAGAGCCATAAAGTAGTCTTAATTGGTATCAACAGCTCCTTCAAGAAATACATTAAATCCTTATCCCCTTATATTAAATGATTAGAAGCAAATTCAGTTTTTAGTTATCATAGTAGTAAACTTGAAAGGAAGAACTGGAAGGGATGTTTAAAAGTACTTCTCAAATTTATTTGTTTGTTGTTTTTTTTTTTTAATTAATCATCAGTTCGGGGCTTTGATTACCTTAGGTTTTGTTTTTTATTTATTGCAGTATAACTGCACCTTGGAAATATTTCACTTATAAAGACATCCAATTCTCCAGGTGGAACCAGAATTAAACCACACACTTATCTGAATCCTCCCATATGCTGCTTGGTGCTGCAAAGTAGCTTTATTTCATACCAACTATTCTGTATTACCTGTTGCAGACCACTGTAAAATGGTAATACTCAAGGATCATTAAAACTAAAATCAGAACAAGAGAGTTACAGGTATTGTTTCTTTGCTTACTATAAATGATAATAAAGTTTCTAGTATAATTTATCCAAGCTTTGTTTTATCATATGAAGTAGGAAGAAGACATGGGTAGGAACAGCCCAAGAACCAGTATACTCAAGAAACAAATGTAGAAATTGCATTTGAAAAAAATGCAGCTGAAGTGGAAGGTCTTTGTCCCTCTTAAATAGACTATACATACTGAGGAGGATGAGTTGGGGGAAAAAACCCCAAAAATCTAAATCAGTTAATTTTTCTCCCATGTGGTAGTCAACATGCTGTGAGTGCCCAGACACTGCACCAGTCAGGAAACTGCAGAAATGCAACTGTAACATAAGAATTACAGAAAACACGTCACATGGGTTAAGGAAATTCAAGGCACAATAGGAATGACATTACAGAAACTGCTAATGTTACATAAAACTTAAAAAAAAAAAAAAGTTATAAGACTATTACCAATCATTTAATATAATACCAAATTTCTTAAATTCTAAAGAACACTTTAAAGGATCCATCAAATGTTTCTGTTGTAGAATTTCTCAGAATTTTTCCTGTTTTTTCCACTTGTTTGAAATCAGGTCTCATACTTGTTAGGTCTCTGCTTCACATAGAAAAGAATTTCAAATACTTGAACCACCCCCCATCCCCCCCACCCCCCCAAGTTAGTAGTATTGTAAGAAAAGTTATAAAACATTTTTACTAAGACCTGTCTGTATCCAATAAAGGATATCAAGAAAATCCATATTTATTTCTGCTTTTCCAGGAAATGCCAGCAGGTACAGCCCATCACTGAAACTGCAGTACAAAGCAATGGTTCCTTCTCTGTGGACAAAAAAAAAGCAAAAACAAAAACAAAAAACCAAACAAAATTTGAAAATCTGAATTACTGATTTGCATTGCTATTAAAGGATGTGAGACAGTGCTTCAGCATAACATGCAGAAGTACTTGCAGCTGCAGAGCAGCTCAAGAAACTTTTCTGTCCCATTAACCAAAACACTTTCAGTTTCCAGCTTGAAGCAGGTGAAACCATAACAAACATTGCACAAGGACTGTTTATCTGTACCCAAAGCATTTGAATAAAGTGTTTATATGAATCAGGGCAAACTTACTCTTTCTTGACACTTCCACATTT